ATATCCTTTAACGAGCCGCGAACGTATCGCTCTAGTAACTTTCTATCTCGAAGATAATATCTTAGTATAGTAAAATCTTATATATTAAGATATAAAATATAGTCTCGAAACTAATTTATTTCTAACTAACTAGAAGATATAGAAGAAAGTATTCTAGATAGCGTTCGGCGACGTTAGGATATAGAAGTAACGTCGAAACGAGTTCGACTTTCTTAAGTAAATAGAAATAGTATAAGAGTTTCGATAGAAGATCGAAACTCTTTAGCTATATCTTAACTCTCGCTCTAGCGATATTAAATATCTACTTATTTTTAAATAAGAGCTTAGAACGACTATTCGAAACCGAATAGAACTTCTTCTAGATACTATACTTTTCTAAAATTATAAAGATTACGCCCTTTTTATAGATAAAAGCGAAAGAAAGATATAAGCTAACGTATATAGAATAGCCTCTCTTTAAGATCGCTTAAGAAGATTTTTCTCGAGAAAATCTCCTTAATCTTCTTAGACTATCTAACTAGATTATAAAAATACTAATAGTAATATTAAGATAGTCCTTAACGGTCTTTAACTAGAATCCTTCTCGTCTACTAAGACTAAAATCTCGCGTAGTCGTAGAAATAAACGTAGATTCTTAAGTAGTTTTCGTTAGAAGTATTAAGACGATAGTCTCTACTTCGATTATAAAGAAGCTAGCTATTAAAAGAAAGATTACTCTAACTTAAAGAAGTCTATAAGACGAGACTATCGAGAAAAAGAGAAGAGTCGCTAGATAGTAGGGCGTCTAGCGATAATAAAGAAGTTATAGACTCTTCGAAGACTATCGATATAAGTCTATTAGACTCTAACTCCTCTTTCGATAATCTAATAGACGTCGCTATTAATACGATCGAAGTCTTTAATTATAACTTAAATCGTATCTAGAGATATAATATCGCTAGCGGATCGCTAGAATAGTATAGTAATTCTTATCTCGTTACGATTCTTCTTAATACGGACTCCGACGTCTTCTATATCTTAAGAAGAGTCGCTAAGTAACTAGATAAGAACTATAAAATTATCTAGAGATTATCTCTTCGAGTACGTCTTACTAATAGCGAGACGACTCTCTTTAATTAAGCTATTATAACGAGTCTAACTATTAATAACTTTCGAGCTCGAACGATACTCTATATCTTAAATTAGAATATATACGACGTTATTCTTAGACTTAACTAGCTAAAGAAATATAGCGCTTTCTAGGATTTTAGTTACTTATATATAATAATACGTAATAGAACTAGAAAATTAACTTCGATATCTCTTCAACTCTTTTAAACTATTAACTATAAAGATATTAAAGAGACCGGATTAAATCTACTTAGCTTTCGAAAGACTTAGAAGACGATTTCTAAATTATCTATACTCGACTAGACTTCTATCTTATATTTTATACGAGAATAGAGTTCTAGCGATAAAGTAATCTCTTTAATATCTAGAACTAAGAATAGATATTTTAGGCGTATTCTCGAAAGATTTAAAATAGTATTTTAAGAAGAACTATCTACTAAGTTTCTAACGAAGCGGAATATTAAATACGAAATTAATATAGACGATACTAAATTTATTAATTTACTCTACTACTCTTTATCGAAAGAATATCGAAATAAATAAAATTAATAAATTCGTACTTTACTAGAATAGAGCCTAATCCGGCTCTTAGAAAGTCTATAAAGTTTTTCTATACTCTTTATATCTAAATCTAGAGATAAATAGTAAATATATATCGACTATCGTCTTCTTAATAATATTACCGTTAAGAATATCTACTCTTTACTCTAAATCTAGAACTATCTTAATACTATCGAAGCCGCTTAGTAGCTCTTAAAGACTAATCTTACCTAAGAATACTACTAGATCTAGATAGAAAAGATATTTATCGAAAAGACCGCCTTTAATACGCGATTCGATAAGTATAAGTTCTTAGCTATATCGTTTAGACTTACTAATATCTCTTCGATATTTTAGAGAATTTTAAACGATACTCTATAAGAATTTATTAGTAAATTTATAATTATCTACTTAGACGATATTATTATCTATTTATAGATCGAAGAAGAATACGAACGCTATCTCGAATAGATATTTAAGATACTATACGATTATAAACTATATACGAAGTCGTTAAAGTATATTATTAGTATCTAATAGCTTAAATTCTACGAATATATAGTAAGTAACGGAGAGTACTAATCTATATCTACGAAGATATAAGCTATTCTTAAATAGCCTTAGTCTCGAAATATATATAAAGTATATTAGTTTTTAGATTTAGCTTTCTACTATCGAAGATTTATCTAAAACTTTATAAAGATTACTATATCTCTATTTAATTTATTAATTAAGACGGATATTAAGCTTCGAAAAAAGAAGTTCCGATCTATTCGATAGAACGCGAGATATAAGTACGTCTTTTAAGTACTTAAAAAGACTCTCGCTACTAAACTAGTTTTATAATAAGTCGATAAATCGAAGTCTTTTCGTATAGAAATAGACTACTTCGAGTAGACTTTAGATTATATTCTTCTATAAGAAGAACCTAATAGAAAATAGTATCTAGTTATCTATAACGAGCGGAAACTTAATAGGGCCGAGCTAAACTATTCTATATATAAAAAGGAGCTTCTCGCTATTAAGTACGCTCTTTAAATCTAGATTATATATCTCTAGAATAACTATAAGATAATCGTTATAACTAATTATAAGAGTTTAAAATATCTAAATATTACTCGGACGCCTTCGAAGCGCCTTACGCGATAGATCGATAAGTTTTTCGAGTTCGACTTAGATATTTAATACCGTAAAGGCTCCGAAGCTATTATTTCTAATACTAT